AACCCACCAGTTCAGGTGTATGTGGCTGGTGCCTTAGCTGCTTGAGCTACAGGAATCTTAAAAGCAATTGTAAGTCCCTCTTTTTGACTGATTTTAGGAGAACTGGGGGAACAGGAGCAAATCAGGCAAGAAAATCATGGGATGTTAAAAATGAAGAGACAAAAAAACAAACAATAAAAAAAGAGAGAGAGAGAGACATTTCTGGGTGTGCAAACAGAGGCTCAGGGAGAAGTGACAGTCCCTGACTATCACAGCAAACACATGACAGAGACATGTTGATATCAGGCAGGTTGATATCAGTTGATATCAGGTCCAAGGAGTCCAGGATGGAAGGAAAACCGATAGGCTGCCATGTCTTTGGCACGATCCCACCCAAGTCAGAGGATAGGACTCCTGCCTAAAAGTCCCAGAGCCTACTTAGAAACCTAGACTAGCACCAGCATGGCCCTGCCACCCCAGGTTCTCCTCCATAAGAGAAAGCAGGGAGGAGGGGCAGGAACCCAGGCTGCTCTCAGGGGTTCAGGGCTAAGGTGGATGTCTTATGCACTCCCCACTGACAGGTGCCCAGATCCCATACATAATGGGTGTAACAAGAAAGTCCCAAACATAGGACACGAGTTCTGATCCCCCCTCACCGTGTGACCTTTAGCAACCCCCTTCCTACTCTGTAGGCCCCCAGTTTTCTCATCTGTAACATGAGAAGTTTGGGCTAGGTGATCGCTAAAGGTCCTTCCAGTTCTGTGCTGTGAGAACAAGCTTCATCATAATTATTAATACATGCCCTGCCCCTAAAAAGAGCTTTTCCCCTTTTCCAAAGCTCTTTCACTCATAATACCACCTTTCATCAGTATAGCAGTCTGGCCTGACAGTCAGAAGTAAGCAGACCCTGGGTCCACAGGCTTTTCACTTTGAAAACCAAGTCTAGCAAGCCACTTGCTTAACTAGATAAGCTTTGGGAGAGTTGGCTTCTGGGCTAACTGTATTGGCCAGGAGCCAATACATCAGAAGTGCACAAAACCTAACTTGTTCCTTCACCTCTGGGAAGCTAAGGAAGGCAGTGCTTTCCCTCCAGAGAGCCAGAAGATGCCAAGGGATAAAGCCTCCAATAGGCTGAGTTTGTGGCCAGAGGGCAGAACCAGAAAGTTTGAGCCTACAAAGAATCAAAGGTCTTCCTTTGGGAGGAGGGGGAACAAGGTGCTATGAATTTGGAGCCCTTCCATCAGGTTCTGGTCCAGAGACCTGAATCCTAGGGGAGCAAAAATCATTCAAGAGCCTCATATTATCTGATTTGCACACATATGGTCTATTTTGATCCCTTAAAAAAAACTACTCAAAAGGTAGATAGAGCTAACATAATTATCTATCCCATTTTACAAATGAAAAAAAATTGAGGTTCAAGGAGTCACGGAGAGAATCATGGGCTTAGAAGACAGATAGACTGAAGCCTCTTCCCAGTGGAATGACCTTCAGTGTTTCCCTTTATTGTTTTTTAGCCTTAGTTTTCTTATCTGTAAAATGGGCATAACTATACTTGTCTTTCAGGATTGTAGTAAGGACCAGAAATAATGAATGTAACTTATCTATCCTGACACACAGCAGATGTTTAACAAATATCTGAATGAATGCTTAAAGGAATGAATGGGTTTGTGGCCCTTCTGCAGTGCAATTGAAGGAGAATAATGTCTGGCAGTGAGTGACAGGTAAGCCCAGGATGTGAGCAGATGGTGTTCCTGCTTCTGGCTGGCTACCTCCTGAGCCTGCCTTCAGTCAGAAGCCTTGGTGCCTCTTCCATATCTCTGCATGACCCATGCCAGGGTCTTGTGAAGGGCTTTTGACCCTCCTTGGCACTGGGCTTTGCATTCCAATCATTCTGCTTGCTCAGCCCATCCAAGTCTGGAGTTGTTTGGAGCTGTGCAAAGCCTGTGGGATCATCTGCCATGGCACCTCATTGAAGAGATAAGGAAACAGTGACGCCCTGAGGTCCTACTGCTCTTCCTTCCTTCCTGCCATGGTCACTATGTTGACAAATGAAGAAACTAAGGCATAGGGAGGCTCCTGTCTCAGTTCCTTCAGTTTGTCAATGAGGCTCCTGAGCTGGACCCCACCTGTCCCATTTCACCTAGATCCCAGTTTTGCTGGGACATCAAAGGTGGTGGCAAATGCTATCTCTAGCAGCCCCGTCTGGCACACTGGTGCAGGACAGGAGCCATGGGTGTCAGGACAGCCTGAAAAACCCAGGGGAGCAGAATGGGAGGCTTCCCAGCCTGTACTTCTCAGCCAGTTCCAAGAACCAGGCTGACCTGAGGAGAGACACATTTGGCCAGAGCAGAGCTCTCCCTTGGGTGTTGGCTCATGTGTGCCCAGATCCATAGCTGCTCCCTGCCTGTCTCTATGATAGATAGAGCCTGGCCCAGGGGAGGGAGTGTGGCCTGAGAGGAAGGGAAGCTGGCTGAGTCTCAGAGCTGTCCTGAACTCCCTGCATGCCATTACCTGTCACTTCACCTCTCTGGGCCTCAGTTTCCTCATCCATATGATAAGGGCAGGACAGCAAGGTGCAAGGTCCCTTCAAATATGCTGTGATTTGGGAGGAGGGTAGGGATGTGGGTGGGGGCTCTCTCTGCCTGTTCCTTCCCTTTCTTTGCTTTTCTTTTCCTGTCATTAGTCTATCTCCAGCCACCCAGGTCTCTCTGCCTCAGTCTGCTACTCTTTCTGTTTTCATCTTCTGCTCCGTATTTTTCTGCCTGCCTCCTCTTCTTCTGTGTCTGTGAGTATACCTCTGATCTTATCTCCTTCTCTGTCACATACCCTCTTCCTTCAGTCTTGCACTGCCCCTCTCTCCCTTTCTCTGTAGTTATCTGCGTTTCGCTGTCTAGTTTTCCCTGTCTCTGGGGCTCTCTCCCTCCTTCCCTCCCTCCCTCCCTGCCGCCACGCTCTCCTCTCCTCTCTCTCTCCCTCCCTCCCTCTCTCTCTCTCCCCCCCTCTCTCTACTCTCTCTCCTCTCTCTCTCTGCACCCCCATCCCTCCTCCCCTCTCTCCCTCTCCCTCTCTCTCTCTCTCCCCCTCTCTCTCGCTCCCTCTCCCCCCCTTCCTCCTGCTAGCATTTGCTGCCTCCGTTTTTACCTGATGCTCATAGGAAGTTTAGAGAAATAGGAACGTGGAAAGATTCAGAGTAGAATCACAAGCAATATTATGCTTCAAATGGAACATTTTCCC